TATATATGTTTTTTTTAATACTTGAAGAAAAACTGGCAGGTCTCAGCACACAATTGGCAAATCCTCTCATTCGTTCACTGAATAAATATTTATTGAGCACTTACCACCTGCCAGATAGGGCAGAGAGGGAGATAGGCACTTCTGTAAGCAAAATCAATCTTATTAGAGTCCCTGATGATCTCCACCTTGCCAAATTCAATGTTCAATGTTCAATGTTCTCATCTTTCTCCTTCTCTCAGTAGAGTTCACCCTCCCCTCTTTTTCAAATACTTTCTTATCTAGGCTTCTGAAGCACCATTGAGAAAAAGAAGAAAAAGACCATCAAACCAATTGTCTTCCAACTCATGATGACCCCATGTGTGCAGAGTGATCCTCCTAGTTTCCTTTCTCTTTCCCCTGGCAATGACTTAGTATCATGTGCTGGCTACTCCTTTTCTTGATGGCTAACTCTTGGATCTTTCTTCTCTATTTACATTCTCATTCTAAGTGATCTCTCTGTGGCCTAAAACAATATAGATGTTGTTGTTGTTATGTGCCCTCAAGTCAGACCTGATTCATAGTGACCCCTCCTTGGGTTTCCAAGGCAGTATCACTACTGAAGTAGATTGCCCCATCTTCCTTCCGAGGAGTGGCTGGTGGGTTTGAACCGCCAGCCTGCTGGTTAGCAGTCAAGTGTTTTAGGCACTATGCTACCAGAGCTCCTATAATGACTCTTAAATCTGTATCACCAGTCCCCTGTTTACCCTGGGCTCTAGACTAGATCACATCCAACTGCCAAGTTGATATCTCCACCTGGATGTCCAATAGGCATCTCAAACAGAGCTATTGATTTATCTGCAAATCCCCATGCCACAAACTATTCCTCCCTAAATCTTTTCCATCTTAGTAAAATGGCATCATTTACTTGACAAAAAATCTAAAAGTTAGAGATTATGTTCTACTGCATGTAACAGATCCAACTTAACAAGAGTGGTTAATTTCCCCATATAAGAAGAGGAGTGAAGACAGGTAGACCAACACTGGGCAGTGACTCCTCACTGTCAACAGTGTCCCAGGCTCCTTGCATCTTCTCTATCATCCTCATAGTTGCAAAATGGCAGCCTCACCTTCACCCTCACATCCACATTCCAATGGGAAGAAAAGGGAGAGATTAACAAGGTGGAAGGTGTAGAGCCTATACAAAAATAGCAAAACTTTTGAAATTCCAAGTAGACTTCTGCTTCTCTCCCATTGTCCAGTCCTGTGTTTCAAAGCCTACCCACCATACCCCATCTGTAAGAAAGACTGGGAAATATAGCTTCTTAGCTATGCACATTGCTACCCGGATCAGGGTTCTGATACATAGAAGAAAAGGAGAATGATTATTGGATAGTAAAATAGCAGTTTCTGCTATGTAATCCTGAACTCTTCTCTTCCTCACCCTTCACTACCAATCCATCTGCAAGTCCTATCAGTCCCATCTCCAAAATATTTAACAAATCTGACTGCTTCTATTCATCACCACTGCTGAAATCCTGGCCTAAGACACCATCATCTCTCATCTATACCATAGCAACTGCCCCCAACTGGTCTTCCTCTTCTACTCTTGCCCTCTCTGTAGTACTTTCTCTACACAGTAGCTACTGTAATCATTTAAAAGTACATGAATATAATCATAGCACTTTCTTCTTTAAAATTCTCCAAAGTATCTGTCATAGTTTGGGTTCCCCCAGAAGCAGACCCTGAGACAAGGATTTGAGTGCAAGCCATTTATTTGAGAGGTACAGGAAACACAGGCAGGGGTATCGCAGACAGGCAAGGAAAGGAAGACAGCCTAAAGAAGGTATGTTAGTTTGCTGGCCTCCCCAGGGTGACTGAAGCTTAACCCTAAGGGGAAGCACTGGGAAATGGTATAAAACTCATGTCTTGTGACTGTCTGACCCAAGGGGCAAAGGAAGGCATTTATACACTTAGCTCCAAGAACTGCTGGCTTCAGCTCTCTTGGCTTGAGCACCTAGTTCTCAATCTCACAGCTTCTTCCATTTGAAAGAAAATTATAAGAAGGTGGGAGAAGGTCAATGTCTTTAATAAGATAATTGGAAAAAAAGCAACCAACCAGTTGCTGTCTAGTTGACTCTTACTCATGGTGATCCCATGAGTGTCAGAGTACAACTGTGCGCCATAGGATTCTCAGTGGCTGATTTTTTTGGAAGTAGATTGCCAGGACTTTCTTCCAAGGTGCCTCTGGGTGGACTCAAACCTTCAACCATTTGGTTAGCAGCCAAGAACATTAACCTTTTGCACTACCCAGGGGCTCCTTTAATAGGATAAGAAGTTCAGAGTACGATATCAGGATTCTGAATGGCTATCTAAGAAATGTGCCAAGTTTTAGCATCATTTGAAAGTAGCTACATCTTTGTTATGCACTCTTTTTGTCACACAAAAATATGTATATAACATCTTTAATAACAGGAAAATTTCAAGTAAGAAATATAAGATTGAAATAGTTTGAAGTTGATATATTAAGGTTACATCATTTAATAACACTAGCACTTGATTACATGTGCTATCTCATTAAATGACTTTAGTGTGTCTACAAATCTGAAGTCTATACAGATAAATGCTAATTAAATAATCTTGACCATATCTCTGCCTTTATATTAGCTTGCTGCTTATATTTACTTTCCTTTTTTCTTCAATTGTTCTACAAAGTAATCATTACAAGCAACAGTCAGAGCTGCCACCATGACCACGAATTCATTAAAATCCACTTCATTGTCCTTATTGGCATCCAGGTCCTGCATTATCTTATCAACCAACTGGGGATCCTTTTGACACTAAAAGGAAAAGGAAAATTTTTAACTCCCAGGCTTTGAGGCCCGTGATGACAATTGAAATCACGTCTTCCTTTTGTTTCCATTATGACTTTTATTCCCATTTTTAGCATCTAAAGACAAGGTCTAAAAGCATATTTGCTGGTAGGTTTGTACCAGAGACATACTCTAAAGAAATCTATCTAGCCTCTGCCCCCCACGGCCATATAATCTTAGCTCAGACCTAATGAACAAGAAGAACCAACAGTTGACCAAAATGAGTTACTGATGGTGAAAATGCATTTGCAAGCACCTCACAGGTTTAAGGGCGAGGACACTGGGAGGCAGTTAGGTAGATGCAAAGAGGGGGACTTTGAAGCCAAAAAGAGTTAGCAGCTCTATCATTTACCGACAATGAGACTTTGAGCAAGTCACTTAACCTCTTTTTTATTTCCTTATTTGTAAAATGGAGATAATACTTACCCATACATTTTGCGGACATTTCAACACAAGTTTTGAAAGGGCTTAGCACTAGGGATGTAGCAGCTAAAAACAGAGGATAGCAGTGAAATTTGAATTTCAGATCAGCAATGTACTCATGTTTTAGTATAAGTATGCCCCAACTATTGCATGGGCATGTGGAATTTTATCTGGCACACCTAGTTAGCACAATGCTAGACATAAGAAAGAGCAGCCAACAATGTGTAGCTCTCATGAGGACAACTACATTTTATGGATTCAGAAAGGGTAGAACTGTGAGCACCCACCTCTCCTGTGTTTAGTGGTTGATGAGAAATGTTTCCAAAAGAAGCTCATTTCCTCTAGAAATTCCCCATTGACCTCTTATTTGCTGCCAACCACTAAATAATTGCAACGTTACATTTAATTGATCAAAATAAAATTGAGGGAAACAATTATAGATTTCACTTGAATAAATCTCTGTGTCAAATTCTACCTACTGAGCCTTTTATTCTGAATGTTATATGATGCCGGAGCCAAACTGAAAAACAACAAAAAAGTTCCTGGGGACTTAAAAAATGACTAAGGATATCATGAAGAGAAATTATGTTTTAAAAACATAAAACAAGTTTTACTTTAAGCTTTTACCATAGAGAGTGGGGAGAAAGAGAGTATCCTAGTTAAATCCCTATAGTCTTAATACAAGGGTTAGATAGGATAACATCATGCAATGGTGGTTGATTGTGCTAAAATCAATTCAAGCCAACTCCATCAACATCAGAGCAAAGTGTTTTACTCAGCCGAAGCTCCAAACACTGCACTATATGGCTTCACAGACAGATTTATTTAATTCCTTGCTATTTTAAGACATAAATCTGGTCTTGTAGTGACTAACATAGCAGACATATCCTTGGCATTGATCCCAATCAGTGTGTGTTTGGCTGACAAAGCTTTTAAAATATTTGTCATTCACTGGAAAACTTGTCATCACAACAGAAAGCACCCCCAGCCTAATTTCTGACCCAATCCATTAGATTAGTTTTCAGACATCTGGACAGAGCTCTTGTTCTAACTAGCTCTGACATGGCAGCACCATGATATTGAATAGATGAAAGCCTCAAACATAATTTATAACATTTGGAAACCCCAACCAATACAGAAGGGAGCATACACAGAAACAAAGGTCTCTAGTATTTGCTTCTCATGTATTTTGAAACTTAATATAAATCATTCCATTTTTGTGACAGAATCATAAGACTATATATGGAAAGTTGGTCCCTGAAGCTACCTTGGCCTGAATGGCACAGAAAAGCTGTGACTTACCGAGAGGAATTCTGTGAGCTCTCGCTGCAGGAGCATTTTCAGTTCCCCCTTGCTGAGCTTGAATTTGTCCCCTTCCTTGCATGAGTACCGATGGAAGGTTCTAATCATGGTGTCCATGGCAATCTCCAGCTGGGTTGGCATGCTGGCAGCACGACTGACCACTCTAGGGGCAGACCACCCAACTCAGAATCTGCCTTGTTCAAAACAAGCAGCTGAGGAAACATCAACATTTTCATTAACATGGAATGATACCATCCCCTCAGCCACTCCACTATGCAAATGATAGTTGGTGAAACCATAATAATCTTCAATTAAAGAAAGTGTTCCGCCCACTCCAGGACAAACTGCAAATGAGACTTCACAGGTGAGTTTTTTCTCTTCCCCATCCCTACTTCCCCAAAATGTAACAGGTTCAGTGTGCTCACAAGTGAGCAGACAACTACAAAGTCACATCAAAACATTGGGTTTTTAAAAAATAAAAAGAGGAAGAAAATACCTAACTTCGTACCTGTTCGACAAATATGCAGCTCCGTCAACAGTTGTTTACAGTTAAAGTATAATCATTTATACCTTGGGTTCCACCCTGGCACACCTGTTTCCTGAGAAGATGAAAATTACCAGTGACAAGAGATTCACATAGAGGTGCTTCTGTGTCTGTTTTTAATCACCAGGTGAACAGATGTGAGCTGCTGCCCCTTGGGGCACCCAAGAAGGGCTGGAGCCTGTTGTGTGCATTAGATGACAAGGCAAAGAGGGGGAAAGAGGAAGCCTCAGTTATCTCTTCATTATGGAAGTTTGCCTAGAAATGCAATTAGCTGCTAGGAAGTTGATGACTGGGGAAGAGCTCTAAAAATAGATAGGTGAAGAAGCAACACTGGTTTAAACCTGGAGACTCCATGGCAAAGACAATAACAAGGTGAAAGTAATAAACACACAGTAGACTAACACAATGACTCAAAACCAAACCAAACCCACTGCCATCAAGTTGATTCCAATTCATAGTGACCCTGTAGGCCAGAGTACAACTGCCCCATAGGGTTTCCAAGGCTGTAATCTTTATGGAAACAGACTGCCATATCTTTCTCACATGGAGTGCCTGGTAGGTTCAAACCACCAGCCTTTTGGTTAGCAGACAAGCACTTTAACCACTGAACCACCAAGGCTCCTTGCATAATGGACTACTATGCGAAAAAGGAGGAAGTGCTTCATGTGCGAATTTGTTGTTTTTGTTGGGTGCCATCCAGTCAATTCTGATGCATAGCAATACTATAGAACAGAATAGAACTCCCCATAGGGTTTCCTAGGCTGTAATCTTTACCAGAACAGAACACCAGATCTATTTTTCCACAGAGCTGCTGGTGTGTTCGAGCCATCCACCTTTCAGTTAGCAGCAGAGCTCTTAACCATTGCACCATTAAATGAAAAATAAACTCAGTGCCGTAGAGTCAATTCTGACTCATAGTGATCCCTCCTTGGGTTTCTTAGGTGGTATCTCTACAGAAGTAGATTGCCCAGCCTTCCTTCCGAGGAGTGTCTGGTGAGTTTGAACCACCAGCCTTCTGGTTACCAGTCAAATGCCTTAGGCACTATGCCACCACAGCTCCCAATAGGGCTCCTAAGTGCTGATTTAGAAAGGTACAAAATGGTGATTCTAGGAATAAAAATAAGAATATAAGTGTGTATGTGTATATAACAGCAGAACAAAAGCCCATTGCCGTTAAGTCAATTTTGACTCATGGCAACACCAAGTGTTACAGAGTAGAACTATTCCATAGAGTTCTCTTGGTTGTAATCTTTACAGAAGCAGATTGGTGCTGTTGGATGAATTTGAACAATCAACCACTAGGTTAGTAGTCACAAACAAACTATGCAACTCAGAAGCTTTCTGGGTGCACTTGCATAAAGAGTCACTGAAAGGCTACATAAGAAAAATAAGCAGTAACTACAAGGGATTAGGAAGGAAGAAGATGGAATGAAGTGGTTGAAGACTAGGCTAGGAGCAATACTTCTCAATTTATACTTTTTAAATTGATTTTAACTTTTCAATTACAGGAATATATTCCCTTTTGAAATACTGAAATAGAATGAAGCTAGAACAGCTGCTTATGCAGGAATCCATAGAGGGATTCTCCCAGTAAGAGAGACAGTCCTAGTCTTCTAGTGCTGCTATAACAGAAATACCATGAGTGAATGACTTTCACAAACAGGAATTTATTTATTTATTTTTTACAGTTTAGGAGTCTAGAAGTCCAAATCCAGAGTGCCAACTCTAGGGGCTGGACAAAGACCCCTTGACCTTGGGCTTCAGCTCTGCCTCTTGTTCCAGGCCCACTGGAGCTGAAGGCTTCTTCTGACTCATGCAGCTACTGGCTGCTGAGGCTGACAAATCCAAGATCAGCCAGCAACATGGCAGGCCACTGATTTAAGTCCAGAAACTGGAGATGAAGACTCAGCCAAACTCAGGCCCCAAAATGTGCCAAAAAGCTAGAGACCTTTCTCAAAACTTCTCCAAATATACTGGAAGCAGGCTGTACCCCAAAGGCAACTAATTAGCTTCTCACAGCAGATTCTATCATGGAATTGATTACACCACAGACAATCTCATCATGGGGAATAACTACATTGAGCTGACAAGCCACTCAAATCTAAGGCCCAGCCAAGTTGGCACACAACCTGACTACTACAAAGACTAATAAAGGGAAAGAGTCACTTGGGAAACAAAAGGCAAAAGTTGACCTTTAGGCTTTGAAATGCTGCCTGTCAGAGAACAATGTGGAATAAAACTCAAAATCATAAAAAAAAAAAAAAAGACCAGGTTTACTAGTCTGATACAGCCTGGTGAGACCCCTGAGACTATGGCCCCTAGTCACCCTTCAGGTCTGGAACTGAGCTCACTCCTGTGGCTTCCAGCCAAACAATAGGCAGGCATATAGGGTGATCATTTACATCAGGTAGATATGTTCCTTAGAACGATCAGTCATGGGAGAACAGGAGGGCAGTATTTGCAAAGAAGATAACTCAGGGGGCAGGAATGCATAGGAAAGAAGGTCACAGGGAAGAGGTAACTACATAGAGGAAGTGTGAAGACAGCTATTACATTATGGGGAATTGTGGTCAGTGTTATGAAACAAAATATATATATGAACTGCAGTATGGAAAATGAATTTGCTCTATAAACTTTCACCCAAATCACAGTAAAAATTAAATAAATAAATGCTACCTGTCCTCTCAGGAATGAGTTTTAATTATTTGAAAATAAAACCAATGTCTCCTTTTTATTTCCTTTCACCAATCCTGTCTGGATGTATGCTCAACCAGTCTATTTCCCTTTCTCTTACCACTCTGGCCACTTCACTGAAACCAAAACTGCCATGTTACTTGATAATCTTGGAACTGTGCCATTTTACTTGTTGACCTTGGGTTTGTCAGCCTCAGCAGCCAGCAGCTGTCTGAGTTGAGAGAAGCCTCCAGCTTCAGTGGGCCAGGAACAAGAGAGAGAGCTGAAGCCCAAGGTTGAGGGGCTTTCACCCAGCCTCTAGAGCTGGCACTTTGAACTCTGACTTCTAGCCTCCAAAACTGTAAGAAGGAGCTCTGGAGGCATAGTGCCTAAGGCATTTGACTGCTAACCAGAAGGCTGGCAGTTCAAACCCACCAGCCACTCCTTGGAAGGAAAGTTGGGCAATCTACTTCTGTAGTGACACAGCCTCAGAAACCCAAAGAGGGGTCACTATGAGTCAGATCTGACTTGATGGTAGTGTGTTGTGTTGTTGCATAAACTGTAAAACAACAAACTTCTGTTCATTAAAGCCATCCACTTGTGGTATTTCTGTTAGAGTGGCATAGGAGGACCAAAACAGTTACAAAGAATGTTCCAAGATCTGTCCTGAAGTACAGTGTTGTCAGTGATAGGATAATATCCATACACCTACGGGGAAGACCAGTTAATACTACAATTATTCAAATTTATGCACCAACCACTAAAGCCAAAGAGAAGAAAATTGAAGGATTTTACCAACTTCTGCAGTCTGAAATTGACCAAACATGCAATCAAGATGGATTGATTTACTGGTGATTGGAATGTGAAAGTTGGAAACAAAGAAGAATCACTGGGAGTTGGAAAATATGGCCTTGGTGATGGAAATGATGCAAGAGATTGCGTGATAGATTTTTGTAAGACCAATGATTTATTCTTTGCAAACACCTTTTTCAACAACATAAATGAAAGCTATACACGTGAGCCTCACTAGGTAGAATACACAGGAATCAGATCAACTACATCTGTGGAAAGAGGCAATGGAGAAGTTCAAACTCTTCAGCCAAAACAGGGCCAGGAATTGACTGTGGGACAGCCATCAGTTGCTCATATGTAAGTTCAATTTGAAGCTGAAGACATTTAAAACAAGTCCACATGAGCCAAAATACAACCTTCAAACATCCCACCTGAATTTAGAGACAATATGAAGAATGTATTTAACATATTGAACACCAATGACCGAAAACCAGATGAATTGTGGGTTGACATCAAGAACATCATATATGAAGAAAGCAAACGGTCATTGACAGATAGAAAAAGAAGAAAAGACCAAAATGGATTGCAGCAGAGACTCTGAAACTTGCTCTTGAATGGAGAGTAGCTAAAGCAAATGGGAAAAATGGCAAGATAAAAGAGCTGAATAGACAATTTCAAAGGGCAGTTTGAGGAGAAGACAAAGTCAATTATTAATGAAGTATATAAAGAAAGACCTGGAGTTAGAAAACCAAAACAGAAGAACATGCTTGGCATTTCTCAAACTGAAAGAACTGAAGACAAATTCAAGCCTGAAGTTGCAATATTGAAAGATACTATGGGCAAAATATTGAATGATGCAGGAAACATCAAAAGAAGATGGAAGGTGTTCTGGTTATTTAGTACCTCTCTGACAGGAATATACCACAAATGGGATGGCTTGAACAAGTAGGAGTTTATTCTTACAATGTGGAGGCTTTAAGTACAAGTTCAAAGTGTCACGCTCTAGGGGCTGAGTGAAAGCCCCTCAACCTTGGGGTTCAGCTCTGCCTCCTGCTCCCGGCCCACTGGAGCTAGAGGCTTTTCTTCACTCAGACAGCTGCTGGCTGCTGAGACTGACAAGCCCAAGGTTGACAAGTAAAAACACACAGTCCCGATGCTACCAAACCACACAG